GCTGGTTAGAGCGTCGTGCTAATAACGCGAAGGTCGCAGGTTCGAGACCTGCATGGGCCATTAGCATGTTTTTATCTTTTTTTTTTTTTTCAAAAAAACAGGTTTACTAATGTATAACTAAATATATATATTTTTTGTGGAAAAGGTGTGTGTTTGTACTTGATTTGGTCTTTTATCGGATGGTTAAAAGTTTGCAAACAATATTTGTGATTATAATTTTGTTTGCTTTATTTTTCATATATTTATTAATATCAAATATGAATAAACACTTATTTAGAGTCAACTGATACACGTTAATTTGTTCTACATTATTTGAGTATAAGAATGAGCAAGTATTTTAATTCTAGAACCAGAGTATGTTCCGATCATTTAAGCTCTTTAGGAGATTCCGACAAAAAAGTGCATCTAATCACCATAACCGGCCTATTAGCTCAGTTGGTTAGAGCGTCGTGCTAATAACGCGAAGGTCGCAGGTTCGAGACCTGCATGGGCCATTATCATGTGTTTTTCTTTTTTCTTCAGGAAAACAGGTTTACTAATGTATAATTAATTTTTTTTAAGGGAAAAGGTGTTTGTTTGTACTTGATTTGGTCTTTTATCGGATGGCTAAAAGTTTGCAAACAATATTTGTGATTATAATTTTGTTTACTTTATTTTTCATAAAATTATTAATATCAAATATGAATAAACACTTGTTTAGAGTCAACTTATAGAAGTTAATTTGTTCTACGAACCAAAGTTTGAGTTGAAATTTTGGATGATGGCCATTATTTGAGTATAAGAATGAGCAAGTATTTTAATTCTAGAACCAGAGTATGTTTCGATCATTTGAACTCTTTAGGAGATTCCGAGAAAAAAGAGCATCCAATCACCGTAGCCGGCCTATTAGCTCAGTTGGTTAGAGCGTCGTGCTAATAACGCGAAGGTCGCAGGTTCGAGACCTGCATGGGCCATTAGCATGTGTTTTTCTTTTTTCTCCGGAAATCAGGTTTACTAATGTATAACTGTTTTTTTTTTCGTGGAAAAGGTGTCTGTTTGATTTGATTTGGTCTTTTATCGGATGGTTAAAAGTTTGTAAACAATATTTGTAATTATAATTTTGTTTGCTTTATTTTTCATATAATTATTAATATCAAATATAAATAAACACTTATTTAGAGTCAACTGATATAAGTTAATTTGTTATACGAACCAAAGTTTGAGTTGAAGTTTGGATGATGGTCATTATTTGAATATAAGAATAAGCAAGGGTTTTATTACTTGAATCAGAGTATGTTCCGATCATTTCAGTTTTTTAGGAGATTCCGAAAAAAAAGAGCAGCCAACAACCATAGTTGGCCTATTAGCTCAGTTGGTTAGAGCGTCGTGCTAATAACGCGAAGGTCGCAGGTTCGAGACCTGCATGGGCCATTAGCATGTTTTTATCTTTTTTTTTTCCGGAAAAACTGGTTTACTATTGTATAACTATATTTTTTTTGTGTGTGGAAAAGGTGTGTGTTTGTACTTGATTTTGTCTTTTATCGGATGGTTAAAAGTTTGCAAACAATATTTGTGATTATAATTTTGTTTGCTTTATTTTCATATATTTATTAATATCAAATATGAATAAACACTTATTTAGAGTCAACTGATACACGTTAATTTGTTATACGAACCAAAGTTTGAGTTGAAGTTTTGGATGATGGCCATTATTTGAGTATAAGAATGAGCAAGTATTTTAATTCTAGTTCCAGAGTATATTCCAATCATTTAAGCTCTTTAGGAGATTCCGAAAAAAAAGTGAATCCAATCACCATAACCGGCCTATTAGCTCAGTTGGTTAGAGCGTCGTGCTAATAACGCGAAGGTCGCAGGTTTGAGACCTGTATGGGCCATTATCATGTGTTTTTCTTTTTTTTTTTTCCAGGAAAACTGGTTTACTAATGTATAATTAAATTTTTTTTGGGAAAAGGTGTGTGTTTGTACTTGATTTGGTCTTTTATCGGACGGTTAAAAGTTTGCAAACAATATTTGTGATTATAATTTTGTTTGCTTTATTTTTCATAAAATTATTAATATCAAATATGAATAAACACTTATTTAGAGTCAAGTTATAGAAGCTAATTTGTTCTACGAACCAAAGTTTGAGTTGAAATTTTGGATGATGGCCATTATTTGAGTATAAGAATGAGCAAGTATTTTAATTCTAGAACCAGAGTATTTTCCGATCATTTGAACTCTTTAGGAGATTCCAAGAAAAAAGAGCATCCAATCACTGTAGCCGGCCTATTAGCTCAGTTGGTTAGAGCGTCGTGCTAATAACGCGAAGGTCGCAGGTTCGAGACCTGCATGGGCCATTAGCATGTGTTTTTCTTTTTTCTCCGGAAAATCAGGTTTACTAATGTATAACTGTTTTTTTTTTCGTGGAAAATGTGTCTGTTTGACTTGATTTGGTCTTTTATTGGATGGTTAAAAGTTTGTAAACAATATTTGTAATTATAATTTTGTTTGCTTTATTTTTCATATAATTATTAATATCAAATATAAATAAACACTTATTTAGAGTCAACTGATAGAAGTTAATTTGTTATACGAACCAAAGTTTGAGTTGAAGTTTGGATGATGGTCACTATTTGAGTATAAGAATAAGTATGGGTTTTATTACTAGAATCAGAGTATGTTCTGATCATTTGAGTTCTTTTGGAGATTCCGAAAAAAAAGAGCAGCCAACAACCATAGTTGGCCTATTAGCTCAGTTGGTTAGAGCGTCGTGCTAATAACGCGAAGGTCGCAGGTTCGAGACCTGCATGGGCCATTAGCATGTTTTTATCTTTTTTTTTTTCTGGAAAAACAGGTTTACTAATGTATAACAATATTTTTTTTTTGTGGAAAAGGTGTGTGTTTGTACTTGATTTGGTCTTTTATCGGATGGTTAAAAGTTTGCAAACAATATTTGTGATTATAATTTTGTTTGCTTTATTTTTCATATATTTATTAATATCAAACATGAATAAACACTTATTTAGAGTCAACTGATACACGTTAATTTGTTCTACGAACCAAAGTTTGAGTTGAAGTTTTGGATGATGGCCATTATTTGAGTATAAGAATGAGCAAGTATTTTAATTCTAGAACCAAAGTATATTCCAATCATTTAAGCTCTTTAGGAGATTCCGAAAAAAAAGTGCATCCAATCACCATAACCGGCCTATTAGCTCAGTTGGTTAGAGCGTCGTGCTAATAACGCGAAGGTCGCAGGTTTGAGACCTGTATGGGCCATTATCATGTGTTTTTTTTTTTTTTCCAGGAAAACTGATTTACTAATGTATAATTAATTTTTTTTTTGGGAAAAGGTGTGTGTTTGTACTTGATTTGGTCTTTTATCGGACGGTTAAAAGTTTGCAAACAATATTTGTGATTATAATTTTGTTTGCTTTATTTTTCATAAAATTATTAATATCAAATATGAATAAACACTTATTTAGAGTCAAGTTATAGAAGCTAATTTGTTCTACGAACCAAAGTTTGAGTTGAAATTTTGGATGATGGCCATTATTTGAGTATAAGAATGAGCAAGTGTTTTAATTCTAGAACCAGAGTATGTTCCGATCATTTGAACCCTTTAGGAGATTCCGAGAAAAAAGAGCATACAATATTGATTATGGCTAGGCGCCAACAAGTAACCAGCTAACAACTTGGTGATTGATATATTGCTAGTTGCTACAAACGTGGACGAACACGATTTCGATTTTAGTAGTCAAAATTAAGCTCATGAACTCGAAGTTTTACCATATTACATGCTTATAGAAACCAATCGACACTTCTACAACATGGCTTGCACCATTTTCTGTACTCACTGCAAAAATTTCTCGAGCATACAGTTTTTTTCCAGCTTCTTTCTCCAGTGAAGTTGAGCATTTCCGTTCAAGTAAAGATGGCAAAAGCTGTTATGCGTTTGGAAGCTTGATGTAATAGTTTTAGGCTGTTCTCTTGGTCAAGGAAAGAATAGTTGAAACCATCAACTTGCGATCAATTGGCTTCGACAGATAAGCATCCATCCCCACCTCCAAGCATTTGGCTTCATCGCATGACATTGCATGAGCTGTCAGCGCGACAATTGGGATGTGGGAACCAGAACCCAATTCTGACTTTCTGATTGCTTTTGTTGCTTCATAGCCATCCATCTTTGGCATCTGATAATGGGAAGATAATGACATCAGATATGAAAATCAGGACTTTACAAAAAGCTCTTACTTAAAGTGCAATATGTAATTAATCATAGTGCAAATTAGCCAATGCCTGAAGGGTCCTATGGAATTTCTGGTATTTGACAATTTTTTAGTGTGGAAAGGGTAAGATCAGCTTGTTATTAGACTCTATGAATTTCCACCAGAATGAGAAAGTTAGAAACAACCAACATGCAAAAGCATTGTAATAGTTAGGCTTGATTTCAACTATCCTACCTGACAATCCATTAGGATCAAGTCATATGGCAGCAAAGAAAGTCCATTGGCGGTGATAATTTCTGAGTTGTCATCTTCCACGGGAGACTCCTTTCTCAATTCACTTGAATGCAACAAGAATTTCAGAGCTTCGACTGCCTGCAGTCCGTCTCCTACAGCCACAACTTTGGCGCCCAACTTTTCCAGCATTATAGTTGCAACTCTCTGAAGGACTGGAGTATCTTCTGCAAGCAGAATACGTAGTCCCTTTAAAGAACTCTGTTCATCCATAGATGTACTTATACGCACAGTATCTCTCTCTTTAAGGCAAGTAATAGGAGACTGTTGCTCTTCTTGTCTCGTCTGACCTGGACTTTTCTTGTTGCAAGCATTTTCTTCATACCTCACATGAGCAAATTCAGCATGATGTCCGTTAGGTGTCCTATTTAGGGATGGAGAGGCATTAGGTGTCCTGTAAAATGGACTCGCAAGTCTAAGATCATCACGTTCTGACTTGTCAGAGTCATCAGAGCTGGGAGTCCAAGAATGAATAGCATCAATTTCATGGCATTCATTCAAATTTCCTTCTATTGTAGCAGTCACATACTTCTGAAGCTCCATCTGTTGATCCTTTATCACAGCTTCCAAAATCTGAACTATTTTCGCCTTGTAAAGTGGTCTACTGACCATCAATAAATGCCCTCTCCAACGAAGTTCTGCCTTAATAGCATTGGGTGTATCATGGTTCAAAATCCATGCAAACTTAGCTATGCTACTGTATTTATCCAGGTAAGCGAGCTGTTCCTTCCATATATCCGTGCTTAATTCAAGAAGTCCAATAACAATGACTATGACGACAACTGAGATGCTGATGCCTTGCGTATGCATTTGGTCACTTTCAGAAAATTCACCTGGTGGAATATGCATGTAACTGGCTTTGAAGTGTTCCTGAAGAGTTTGTGTCAGTTCATTCCATTCAGATGCTTCATATGTGTGCACCAAATTTTTCTGTAACCATTGGGCCATAGTCGATCTACCCATTCTTCCATTAAGTGCAAGCACCATCTGCATCCAAATTTATTATGATCGATCTGATAAATTAGGTCCATCAATAAGTTACTTGGGTATATTATTTTGTATGGTTTATTAACAAAATTAAAGTGGAATTGCAGCCGATTATGAATAGCATTGCAATGATACAGATTATGTATTAGCCTTAATGTTACCCACAACAAATAACCAAGAAGTGTAGCTGTTGTGAATTATTAGAGAATAAGATTGAAACTCTACAATGCAAGGGTGAAAGAACTTCAAACAATTTACTCACTGTCAATTTATGTTCTTTGAATTTGAATTGGCAATGCTTTCCTGCACCATTTAGATCTGCAGGTGTGCTGAGAATTAGGTACAGTCGCATCAGAGCACCTGGCCCATTCTTCTTTTCAACTTTGATCTCTCCACCCATCTTGTTAACCTGTTGGGACAACTTTTGCCTTGCGTAAACATGAAAAAGGATGAAAAACAGCAAGATGGTTGCTTTTTTCTTTTGTTTCTGTCAGTGTTTCTGTTTAGAGGTTTCAAAATTCCAGCAGTGATGAATTTACTGAAATATGTCGAGATGCTTTCCTCTACGACGCACTGATGAATTTACTTCATCATGAAACAAGTCTAAAGATGTTTGTAGCTGTGGCGTATATAATTCAGGTCACACAATCGGTTCTAATGCATATCTTAGCTCCACCTTCTGGAACAATGCAAAAAGTTAAAGCATGAAATCATATTCTTCCATTTCACCAGCTAATGAAAAATAAAGCACCTGGGACATCTACCTGCTGCCAGACTTGAAATAATTTTGCTCAAGGGATGAGTGTTAAGTTTCAGGAGAATTACAATTTATTTTAAGCATGTTTTCAGCTTACCAAGGTTCGTACAATGCAAAGACCGAGCCCAGTACCACCATGCCTGAAATTGAAAAAACAGAAGGACAATTTTCTCAAAGTTTATTTCCAGTAATTAATTGGATCTACAATGATTAAAAAAATTGAGAACTTAATAGACAATTCAAGATGGTGCACTCGTTAAGCTCATCTTTAGGGCATCAACTGCAGTTACTTGATACAGTATACTTACAAGCGAGTAGTTGAAGGATCAGCTTGCTCGAAGCTTTCAAATACAGATTCCCATTTGCTTGGATCGATTCCTACATAATTCACGAAAAAGAAATGATAAAGACAACGTCAAGATTTCCTGTCTAGGTTTGTATAACTGCAAGTTCATACCACACCCTGTGTCATCGACTTCAAACCAAAGAACCATCTTGTTTTCTTTCTTCAAGGATCTCTTTCCGTGGCTTCCATGTAGCTTTAATTTCATCTTCTGTCCTGGCCAAGAATCCTTTTGACTAATTGAACACTTCCCGCTGCTAAGGACAGAATTTGGATTTTCAGACCAACCCCGAAGAATAACGTGGCCAGCTGCAGGCAAGAGAAAACTTTATTTTCTGCAAGTTTACTTCAGTTTCTCATAAGCTGATCCCTTTTAAGTTTAATTCTTGCAGAGATGCTTCACATCTAAAATTGCCAGGATGCATTCAATTAATTTTCTTCTTTAAGCATACTCAAGTCTATTCCTAACGGTATTAACAGGTTAATGTTGAGTATCCTTCACCGTACTTAAATAAACTCAAGAATTGTAGGTGTACTGATGTTTCAACAATCTGAAAATTGATTCAAATTAACATCTTCTTAAAATGTGATCTGCAATATGATCTCTTAGCTTTTCATTGTTGTAACAAATAAACCACTGTGCTCCTTCCTGAATCATGTGGTTTCTTTCGTCTGAGTGGTCGGTCAATTTTCTTAGTGCTTTTTATTCGTAAAATTTTTTCCTCACACCAAGCAGTGGTGAATTTCAAGTTCAATTACTTTGATGATTGAGAAGCTACAATGGAGGCCAACTGATGAGCAAGTCAAACTTACAAGTTGTAAACTTGATAGAGTTGCTGATGAGGTTGGCAAAAATTTGAACAACTCGAGCTGAGTCTCCTTGAACTAATTTTGGCATGTCATCTACCAATAAACATAATAAGCAGCAATTGTTGCTTAGAAACCAATACTAGAAAATGCAGATATTAACCATTGAGGAAAGGTTGTTTTGTTATTCAGTTTGGATATATGGGCATACCAGAGAGATCTAGAATGATTTCCACATTGTGGTTAATGCACTGGACAGAGAACATATCAACAAGCCCTTCAAGTTCCCGGCCCAAGTCAAACTCAGTTTCTTCCAGCACTAGTTTTCCGGATTCAACCTGTGGAAAAGTTTCAGAAGAGAATCCATAACTGCAAAGGCTGGCAATACACTTCCACTATACTTTAGGAGGAACAACACCATTCACACAGAAGAAAAGGTTCTCTATCAATTCTGCACTCTACCTATGCAAATTGGACTAAAATGAGACAAGGATAGAGGAAAATGAGAAACCAAAGAGCTAAAATCCTGTCTAAGATAATTCTTTTCCAAACAGGTTGAATTTACAAACTTGTTGGACAATTACATTCTCTTATGATCACAGGAACTCCCAAACCTACTTAAGAAACTCTCCAACCAGAGACGGATCCATTGTTGTAAACCTTTTAGTTCCACGAATAAATTTTCAGGTTAATGCTTATTCACACACACGAGACAAAATAGCAACAACTTTCTAGATATCCACATGAAAACTGTAGAAAAGTACATTGAGTTATGCCCTTTTAAGTTGAGATCTGTTGCAACAAATGGTTCAAGAGTTAACAGGAAAGATCCTTGAATGTATAGCTCACCTTGCTGAGATCCAATATATTGTTAAGAAGACGGAGCAAAGCAGTTGAACATTTGCGAATTTGCGTAACATTTGCATACTGCTCATTGGTGAGGCAATCATCACAAACCAGGATGTCCAGCAACCCAATCACAGCAGCCATAGGTGTTCGTAGCTCATGACTGCAAAGGATTTATGAAAAGTTCCAGATTCATAAATCTCCATATATCATACTATAAATCCAAAATTCTCGGAAATTTGATTTCTGAATATTCAGATTCCCAACATGGTGTGGGATCCAAGTTAGTTAGGATACTTTCAGTTCAGAGTTGTAAAAGACTAGACTTAAGCAGAACGTTAAGGTTCAAAAAGAACATGAATGTGAACGCGAAGAAACGACATTATTTGATCCACTTGTCTGTACATAACCAAAAAGCTGATATAGATTCTTACCTCATGTTTGCTAAAAACTGGCTTTTATAGTTACTTGATGCTTCTGCCTTCCTCCTCGCATCAAGGTGGCTAATCAATTCTGCTCTTAACTTCATTTCCTTTGACACCCCATTAGTCAATACAAAGATGCAAACACATCCAACTACTAAGATACAAACAGATGCTGATATCAAAACTACTAATGTCTTGAAAGCTCTCTCATCCACCCTGCCCATGATATACTTTCTTGGGATGATGATAACCCCCACCTGTAAGTAAATTCTTGTTAGCATATGTTGACCAGGGCCTGATGCCAAAATAAGCAAAATTATATTGGTAAAGTCAAATCATCTGCATATTTATCTATGCATGAACGATTCAAAAAATGATAAGGCATCATTATTTTGTATTTCTTATCATGAAAATGGAGTTCATACGTATTCAATAGGTTACCATGGGAAGTCTCTTTAAGTTGAGGAAAAATGAGTCTATGTAATACAGCTGATGACCAAGCCTTGCATGTTCTATATGAACTTCATCATTCAAAGGAAACTTGTCACCATATACTCTCTGTAACCACTCAGCTCCAGAACGTATTACACGATCTTCCGAATCAACAGCCATCATGAGCTTTGGTCCCGTTGTTGAATTCATTAACAGAGGAGTATTTGAGGAAGTAGCAAGCAACCAACCTTCTTGAGAGGTTAAGTATATGTGTCCACTGTGGAACCCAACAAGTTCTTTCATTAGTTGACCCACACTATAAAGTGCTGTAGTAACACCTACAACAGCTACTATGCTTTCTTTAGATGAGTCCCAAACAGGTAATGCTGCAGAAAGCAGCGGAGAATCCGTATACTTGCTCACTGCCACGTGCCATGAAGCCGCACCATCAGGTATTTGTGAGATGCCAGCAATATTGATTAGTTCATCTGGCGGTATTGGGCTTGATTTCCCGATCTTTTCACCTGTAACAGGGTCTAGAGGTTGCCGATACCAAATTGCAGACATATTTCCATGTATGGATTGATCATTCCACCCTTGATGAGAAGACAGCGTATCGGCATCATACCCGTTTATTGAATAGTTGACGAGATCGGAGTATATGTAGGAAGTTTTGTTGCTCCTGTGATCTCTATGGAAAGCTTGAACAAAACCATTTCTGTAGTTTATGGTTATTGAGCTGAGAGCTCTTTGACTTGCAAATAGTGCCCAGGTCACGTCTCTCATTACTTCATACAACTGTTAAAGAGACAACAGCCAGGAGAAGTAAGATGTACAATACAAATATACAATACATTGAAGAATTGCAGGCACGATTTACAGCAAACTGATTGACTAGAAATTAAGAAAAGAGAAGGAAGACTCCACTTAGCAACAACCTCAACTTGCTGTGCTTGATTGACAGGCTTGCTGTACCTCCTGATTACATATTCTGACAATTTCACCTGAGCTGTTGTTATTTCAACAGTGGAATTTATGATGTTCCACATTCGTAGCATGGGTCGCTGCAGTAGTTCAAACCGAAGTCCATAGGCTAATGTATCCAGTGATCTTTGTGTATAAACTTTAGTAAAATGCCATGTTAGTAAAGTTAGCATGCCAATCAAAATTGCAAGCATGACCTGCATGAAAGTTGAAGCCACGAACATGAGGCACTAGAATCCAAATATGTTTGAAAACAACCAGAAGATGATCAACGTCCATGAAGACAGAAACCTATATCGTTTTCACCACTGTAACCCGAGAAAAGGAAAACAAAGAAAAAGCATAATAAAAAGTAGGTCCATTTAAATCATTCTGCAGAAATGGAAAAGTTGGCCATGTACTGGCTAATTAGGAGAAAGAGACAATGACGGAGTACTCAATAAGTAGTCAAATGTCATGGGTTCACCATTTACTGAGCATTAAAAAGGAAAATAGGCGCATATGCAGCATCTTTCTATTTTTAGTACTGCTTTCAAGAGCTTCCGCAACCAATCATACTTGATGCTGGCCTGGTAATAACTATATAGCCTAATATCACCTTATTAGTCCATTTCAGGGACAAAATTCACATACCATGATTGCAAGACGAACCATGAAAACGCTGTAGTATGATGAGAGACAAACAGTACTTGTATCCTGAAGTTCTTCAGCTTCAACATCCCTATTGAAAGTTCTCTTGCAGCAACGAGATCGGTTTCTTCTACAAGAATTAGCAGAAGCAAGAATTCTGTTAACATAACTTCTCAGCCACAACCCCATTGCCCTGAATGAAGATGGTGGAGACTCAAAGGTAACAGAGGGACTGTTGCTGGCTGCATGAGCCATTGCATCTTCTTGAGCATCGAAGTGAAGCAACTTACACTTTACATAGCAACTTCTTCATTCAATTAAAATAGAGGGAATAGAAAAAAACTCTGAAAAGACGCGGGGAGAGAAAGAGAGAGAGAGACAGAGAGAGGGGGAGATTTGAGGCTTATATTCCAGACTGGTGGACTGCTTCTGTTTCCTATTGTATAACTGTCGCTTCACTCTTTATGGAGGCACATTACTCCCTAATTTTCAAAAGTGGGAGGCGTGGTGTTATAATCACAGATAGCTCATCCACAATTCCGCCCTCTTTTCATTTGTTTTAAATTCTTTAATTTGGCCATTGTGGTATCTAAAATTAACAAGTAAAGCTCAGGAACGTTTACTGACTATGCTCAATCATGGATGTCTATTTATCTTTTCAAGAGCAAGAAACTGAGAGCATCACACAACTATTTTGGAGATTTAAGGTTCTTGACCCCTTACAGGCAATGGAATCTTGTCGTTTCTCACGGTCCGAAAATAGAAATACCAGGGGACAGGGGGACCAATTTTACTAGTACTAACTATAGGTGCATGGCCATGGTGTCCATCACATAAGCTTAGAGGGACCAGCGTCGATAGTGTCATAGTGCTATGTGATGAGGGTTAAGCTAATGACTTGGAGCCATATCTATGCGACACTCTTCCATGCGCTATGACTTACTTATCAGATTCCAAACAACAAGATAATGCAGCACCATTAAAGAATCCCATTCAACTCTATCGACATACCATGTATTGCAAGATTGTGATTCTTGATATCCAACACGTGTTTGCCTCTCTAGACATATCCACCCAAAAAAAAATGGGGGTGATGGCAAATTAAGTCCTTGAAAGATGCCAGTGTTCTGAATCATTTTTGCCAATATAGGATCATTATTTACGCCATACTTCAGGCCAATCCCAATCATGACCAGAATTCCAGAAGAACTGTAGTGTTTATTGGGTCTTTTACTGGTCTGGGGTTCTCTGCCGATGCAAAAGGTTTGCCTTGCTTATGGGTTCCGTTCACTCAAGCTGCAATTTTACAACAAAGCTGAAAGGATTCCAATACGGAATAACAGAGAAGGGCCCCTTTTTTTTTTTTTTTAACCCAAGTTGGCACGTAATAATCTAGTTGCCGGGGCGGCTACAGTTAATAATTCAAGACCGAAAGCACGCAATAATATGTGCTTAGACTTTGGTGTGCTTTCATCCTCTAGAACAATAGGTTAGTGAATCCACTTCTGGCATCCATAACCAATATGCACCATCACCAATTACGTCCTTTGTTGCTTTACAGTTTATGGGCTGTGGCTTAATAAAAACGCCCACCATGCAACGTCGTAAATTTGTGGCTTATCTTCAAAGCTTTTTGTTTTTTTAGCACAAATGGGTCTGCACAAAACTTCTTACGTAACCTTTGAGCATTTTAGATAGTTTGTCATGGCCGGCACATTAACTTCACGGATGATCAAGATTGTTTTAATGTTTAAGGACATGACTCCAAGTATGCAACCAGAAAGCACGCTTTGCTCCAAGACATCTGCAGTAACGGAATCAAAGGCATCCTTTCTTTGTAAGTTACTGGTACAAAGTTATTAACCAATGGAACCCTGCAGCTAATCAGACCCAAAAAACCAGTAAAAACTTTTTGTAACTAAAATTCTTTTTAGAATGGTTTAATCAACGCTTGACCTTCCGAAAGTCCCAGGAGAAGGAGATCCCATAACCATGAGGTTGAGATTATGGCTCAACCTTGCTAATTTCCATGCGCGCCCTTCTAGCACAGATAGAATAGACTTCTCACCTTTGTTCATCTATTAAGGGGGAAAAAAATGTAGTACCGCGTGACGGTAGGCCATTGTGATTTCCAGAGGTTCATAATTTCCCATCAGAGCTGAGGAAAAGATATCACAATCACAACACCTACCCACAACCTCATAAAACACGTCAATGACAAAATGAAATGGCCCTTCTGGTTCTGGTTTGGTATTAGAAGTCCTCAAAAGAGGATTTGATTGGATATGTGGGGAGTCTATAATGTTGAGACCACTAAAAAGACATGGTATAAAATAAATATGGCTACAGACGCAAGCATATTACAAAATATTACTTATCCGATCTTTTCTGTTAGTGGTACTACACACTACAAAGCGAAAAGGACTAAAGGAGTGAAAAGAGTCTTTGAGTTCAGTAATCCCTATATTTTAGTATGTACCACTTATCCTCTGCTCATGGTTAAATGAGAGCCATCCAAGCATTCCCAGCTGAGATTTAGGTAGTCCTAAAAAGGACCTCAGGACTCATCTTTCAAAAGTTGTCGTCCGTGGTTATCACCAGGAGCAGCAAAAAAAACCAATTATTGATTCTGGACTGAAAGATCACGAAGGATTTTGCAACAACACAAGACCATCATCTTTTGCCATTTGCAGCTGAAACTTATTAACTGCCTAGCTGTAACAACATATCTAGCAACTAAATAGTCATTTACCAGCAAACAATTCAAGAAAAACCTCACAGAGAGAATATCCAACACAGAAAGTGAGGAAGTTGATACTTGATACTTCTCATTTAGAGAATATCCAACACAGAAAGTGAGGAAGTTGACACTTGATACATGAAAAGGAGAAAAGGAAGCCAACAAAGTTAGTTTGATAAACAACAACAAATTAGAGAGAGGTCACTCAAGACGGTATGATACAGTATATGCTGATAGCAACATTTGATATTCTAAACAAATTGGGATGTAGATGACTAAAATAAAGAAAAGGCTAGTGATATATTATTATACACTCGTACACGTCACATATGACTATAAAGATTTCTAAAGAAAAGATGTTTACCAACCTTATAACAATATTTTTGCAGATGACACTGCAGAAAAAGTTGGAACTGTAAACAATGTCCGAAGAATTTGAACCATGTGTTTTTGTATATAATTTGTGATCACGTCAACAAGCACAGAGTGAAGATAGCAGTGCAGATAACAGCAACCTTCCTTACAAAAGCTGATATCATTTCAACTCCAATGCAAAAGAGAAGAAGCAAAAAATCATAGTTTACCATAAAGGCACTAATCATAACCACCAATTCAATCACTAGGAAACTTAGAAGCTACTCTCAATACAACTAAAACATCACAAAATGTAATCTTGATCCAAACCTAATCTTCCACAGAAAAAAATGAAGTGCAAATTTCAGAATGCCACCGAGACCCTGAAACAGATAATCACAGCTGAATTTCAGCCAAAGACTCAATGTCACTGTTGTTGCAATAGCTGATCTTGATATTTCAGTTGAACTAATGAAGAAAGGAAAGCATGAAACTAAACAGAAAGATTATCCTGATATCATTATGCACAGAAGCTTAAGAAAAATGTTGATTTCAGCTAGCCATTGACTTATAACCATCACCCCTGGAAGATTATGAAATGAAAATTATAAATTACACATCCCCCTTCCCGATAAGTTATTGCCAAACATAGGTCTTTATGAAGATCATCCTTTAGCGAGTTATCGATTAAACAATTGTATAAACAGTAAGATTGTGACCTTTTATTTGCTACATTTACCAAATGTGATTGCACTCCAGCACAATATGCATTTTTTCATTTCGTTTCAAGAAATTTAAAGTAATCTTATCTTCCTATCACCTATTGCTGAATGATTTCCAAAAGAGTGCTGGCTCAATAGGAATCCACTTAATGCCTTGAACCATTACCGTCATTTTTTTAAGGGGCCTTTTCCTTTCAAAGTGAGCTTCAAATATAAGAAGCTTCTCTTAGTAGCTCGAGTAGGATAGTTTACCTATTAAAAAGAAACTGAAGCAGGATCATTGAGTTAAGGTAGAAAAAATGAAAAAACTTTACTAGGGCTTAAACATTGAGTTGCTTTCAAGCTGATATTTTGGGCTTCTTACTTGAATCAGACCCCTGTTCCACAATGATCCTGTTAGACGAATAACAAGGGGGAAAAATTACCTGAAATGAATTTCACCTAGAAGAGAAAGTTACAACAATAGACCCAGGCCTCAGATCTCCTACATGACATGTCAAATTGGAGATGTGTGACAGGGCATAATTACTTTGCAGCATTTAACTCAATAAGCGGAGCCAAGAAACAACATCCTTAACTATTACTTGGAACTCTTAGCTTTTTTCTCAGCAGCAACAGATTTAGCAGCAGACTTAGCCAAGGAACGGGGGCTTAGAACACCTTTTGGATTTAGAGCCTTTCTGATCTTAAACACAGCCCATGCAGTTCCTACGGCATGCCCTGCAGCATCGAGCCCTTCACTTGCTGCCTTAGCTGCTTCTTCCCCATATCTGCACAGGTAAAGGTGCAACTTACAATTACATTGAAGGACGTTACAATGTATGACATATAAGAATATCAACTCACCAAATTTGTATGTGATTCCATTGATCCAAATTTAGTGCAAATCATTAGGATCTCAAAGGTAAAAGATTCACCCTCTAGTTTTTATTTATTTATTTATTTATTATTATTATTATTGCAATTGCATTTCTATTGCACCAACTGTGAAATGACCGAGCCTTTTTTATTCTCTAAATTATGGTACTTTTCACAAAGAGTACATACCCATTTAATGTGAACCTAAAAAAATAGTGACCGCGAAGAACATTATTGAACCAGAAGTATCAGATATCACAATAAAAACAAACACAAAACTAAGGAAAACAAAGCTTTCTTCATATCAGTATTTAATTAGATCACCATACTTTACATGGTTAAATGTTTATCTATTCCCACATAATATGCATACTGGACTGCTGTCATAAATGGATAGATGTACTCCTATTTAAAATTTTAAAAAAATCTCACTATTGAGCAAATGAAAGGCTAAAAGAAGGAAATTGATGGTTATGCAAACAAAGAAAAGTCACAAATGCAACTAGAGAGATAGAAGCATATGGTGTAAATGTTCTGGAAAGGTAATAAAACTTTTAAAATACACTGCATGAAGCCCAATTCATACTGTAACTTATTATAATTTGTAATCCAAATGGTTCAATTTAACTATATTACCACTATACATTTCTATTTGACTCAAAACTTGCAAATTTAGAATAAGAAAAGCATGATGAAAGACATACAATTAATAATGGATAAAATTTTTCCTGAAATTAATATTTGATTGGTACTGAAAAACATTTATTTTCTAATGTGAAACCCTGAAACTATTTGCCAGAGATGGGAATTATGAGGCTATCAACCATCCACTTCAAGAGAGTCAACTGTAAGACATGAGACTGAAATCAATAGGCCAAAAGCCGAGTTTATGAAGAGGAAGATGGAAATACACTACCTACTTTCTTTCCTTCTTAGTCCCTGTCATCCCTTTTTATAAGTAATTTATCTTTGATTTTTTTGGTGATGCAGGCTAGGCCACCGGATGGAACAGCAATTTCAGTTCTAACTAGCTGCTTTCATTTTCCAATCATGCATGCAAGCTCAAACACACGAAGTTCAAAGTTACCTATGGGAGACAAGTCCAGTCGTCACGGTCGATGACGTTGACATTACATTCTTTCCTGCTACCTCGACAGCATCACAAATTTTACCTATTAAAATCATACAAGTCAGACCAATCCAGAAAAGCAAAAGTATATATACGATCCTACAACATTTAGTTGAATGCTCAGTACAGTGTCATGGATTTAATCCAAACATATATGCATTGAAGAGGCAATTCAATCACTAATAGTTAGAAAACCGGACAAGGATTAAACATGCTTTTGGTATCATAAAGCAGCACAAACCTAGAGTAATACTAGGTAAGCTGCATAACTCAGTGAGTATAATTCTAGATCAACATTAAAGGTCCAATTAAGTGTCAGGCTGTCCAAGTTGTGTAACTAAGATGAATAAATTGAGCTAATTCTACAAGCCTATCAATTATTCTCAGCGAAATGATTAATAACTGACTAAGCTTCGATGAATTAAAGTCAAGCAGAAGAAGGGAAGCCAACAGTTAAATAGAACTTGTCAAAAACCATGAACTCCAAAGCACAAATTGTAAATGTCGCACATACTGAATCCATCCAGAGAGGCAAGGACCATTTCCCCCGGTAAGAGGCCAAAGAACTTCTTTCCAGCCTTGGAGTTGGCAACTGAACTGGTAAAGAAACCTGAAACCTTCACAACACCTGAAAGGACCCCTAGCGCTACCTTCTCAGTCATCTTTGTCACTCTCTTAACCCTTCAAAGAAAACAACCAAAACAAACATTAAGTGTTAGACTGGTTGGTCTGCAAGATTCTACTGAAACGTCCATAGCATCAACCAAATAAAAGACCTATCAACCCAAAAAAATTATTGAAACAGCAAAATAGAAGCATGTTTCTACCGTCAAAATATTTGCATTCCCCCAATCTCTGATTAAACATTCACTAATAGCCAATGGACACACGTACAACATTTAAGATTGAATGAAGAACATTACGAAACAGACTGATCAAGCTAAAATGAAGTAAACAAAATCATACCTTTTTATCCTTCTTAAGGTATCGGGACTAACCTCAGCCTTGGACCCTGTGGTCATTCTCGTCTTTAAAACCTCATTTCCCCATTTCAACCTATCCACGGTAACGTCTCCACACCACAATATCCCCATAACTAACTGGCCTGATCCAGCTGCTATCAACTTGGCTGCAGTCCCACTGTACTCTTCTACATTAGGCGCCAGCGTGGTCCAATACGCTGCGCACCGCTCTTCCAATACCTCCTTCTTCTTCTCCGACACCAAGTCAGCTGGCGACACCTCCCTGGCCACCGCGCCACCCAACTGCGCCACCACCTTTTCTTCGACTTGTTGTACTGAAAAACTGCTCGAAATCTCTAAAATTCCATCTAATTGTTTCAACAAATCCTCCTGGCCCTTCGAAGCTATCGTCAATCCGTAATTTAACACGTCTAACGACTCAATATTTTCCGATTCTTTTCTATTTTTCTTTTTCTTTTTCTTTTTCTTTTGCTTCTGCTTTTGCCTTTTGTCATCAATTTCATCGTCGCTGCTGGAGTCCGAACCTTCGCCCTCTATCGGGGCGCGGAAGGAGAAGAAATAACGAGAAGGATCGAGTTTGACGGCGGCCAGGTCCTTGGTCAGAGGCCACTGGATCTCGTCAGCCACCCGGGCTAGAACGGCAACGGTGTTGTCTCCTTGCCGGAGACGGAGGATGACTAAATCCCCAGTGGCGAGCTCGACGGAGTATTGCTTGTCGATCAAGTGGAGGATGGCGCCGGGGACAGTGAGGAGAGTTTCCTCCATGGATTCGGGAGGGGCAGAGGGGGCACTAGAAATGTTTGCGGGGGGAGTTTCGTCATTAACGTCCGGAAAGAGGTTCTCGACGAGGTCTTTCATGTCAATGGTAGGGTACAGATTGGGGCGAGAGGATGGCGATGATGAAGATGGGGGGAGGGTAGTTTCGTAATTTGGGTCGATGACCTGAGGGTACATTGGAGATCGAGTAGGATTATTTTTCTCCGACGCCATTGCTGGATCTAAAGTTACTACGAAATTAGGGCGGTCTGAGGGAGGAGGAAGAAGAACAGCAGTGATTGCCCTTAGAGAAAGGAAATGAATACAGTTATTTGACACGTGGCGAGAATAGGTAAAGACACGTAGGCAGACCGTTTCGAGATTAACTGTCTCTGGAGATTCCCGCGCTCGTTACGTTACACGTTGAACAATAACTGAAATAATGAAATTTATAGTACCAGTAACTAATTGCAGCCAACAAGCTGAACAAAATAACTAACCAATACTGCCTTCAAAAAAAAAAAAAAGAATTATTAACATTCGAATAAAAAATAGCTAATGAATACTCCAAGTCGTAAGAGTAGAAAAAGGATAAATTGCATTTGTTTGGATAGAATATTATTTGAAATAATTACTGTAGCACTTTTTTAATGTAATGCATGTGAATAAAAATGTGATTGGGAATATAAAAAGATGAGTTTAAAATATAAGCGAATTATTATTTAAAAACAAATTGACATCCAAACAAGTCCTGGCCTTAGTGTGTTTGTTAATGTGTAATGGGTTTTATAATTAATTATTTTTTTTTTGTAATTTTTTTTTTCCAATTTGTTGAAACCAGAAAAGGCCATGGCATTTTGTTTTCTTATTTTTACATTTAAGGAGAATAAGACATGGAATTAAGATGGCATTTTGGTTTCTAATTTTTAGACTCAAGGAGAATAAATTGGATAATTAAGATGATTTTTCTAGTGAGACGTGGTTAATCAGAAAACCCAGATTTTAGACTTGTCATTCTCATTGATTTATTTCTATTGGCCCAAGCAAATGTCTTGTATGAGTATAATTAAATTTGAAATCCATTTTGCCAAACACCCCGTGAATTTTGGAGGCCAAAGCACCATGTTGAATGACGCAAATTATATAAGTAATAAACATATGATGTTATAAATGAATTAAAGCATTCAATTTCTGAAAGCACTGCATAATATTTTCATTGGCTCCATGCCTAATCGCTCGATGATAAACATTAAACATTGGGTAGGTGATGGAGACTTATTAAGCAACCATTTTCGCATTAATTAGCTAATTATGCCACTAGCAACGACATTCAGAATTCAAACAGATAGTTTTTTTTTTTTTTTTAAAAAAAAAAGAATTAATAGTAGTGATTCCTGCTTATCCACTTGATTATTCGAACTCATAATTTATCGATTTTAGGTGAAACATCTTGTCCATTAGATTACGCTTTATTGTCAAAATAGATAAGTTTGTGCATGACGTACAATGCTAAAAACCACTGAGCTGCTCACGAAGGTCATCCAACGTTTCTGGCTTGTAACTTAAAGCTCAATAGCGTTCAAAAGAGAAATCTTCCGTATTCACGCACTTGTACGAACTGCAGGGCCACCAGCTTTTGATTGTCATCATAATTGACCATCAGCTAGTATATCCGCCCCTGATTGCTGAAATGACTAACACTCGAATCTATGCTTTTGAAATGATTATCTTGGTCCTGTTCGTCGTAACCCATACAACCCTTTTTAAACCACCCAAGCCAATTCCGTACTTTTTTAAACCTGTTTTCGTGAGATAATTGTAGTGTTCAGCATCACGTACACCTTCTTGTCTCTTTTATTTTTTGTCTTGATTACTTGATTCGGCCTTCTGTAGTTGAATCACAAACGAAATCAGCATTCAGGGCCCAATTCTAATTAAATCAATTTGCTTGATGGCTTGGCCGGGGTTTAGTTTTTTGTTGGGTAAATGAAGGAACCAATATTGCCAAATGCCCTAACAACAACCAATAATTACATGCTTAATTAACTAGGGTAGTATTTTACGAACCCTTGCAGCTTACTCTTCCTTTTCTTGCAGTGCCATGGTTACTTTCTTTGACCCCCTCCACTTTTGATAGCGTGAACCGACATGGTGATAAAATGATAAGAAAAAAAGAGTCTTCAAGATGGCTTTTCTGGACTCCCTTCACACAGGCCAGAAAGACTAGCCATACATGTTGCATCATAAAAGGAAGAGTGAAGCTAGTAGAGTACTACTAGTATTTAATTGTAGTAGTGGTAGTATTTCGTGATAGAGTACTTGAGTAAAATGTGAAAAAATGATGGAAGAGGAGTCTACTGTCTACCTGGCTTCAAGAACACGCAGGAAAGCTTCATCTGTCCTCTGAGGTGACATGACACCAGCAGAAGATGTTTTCTTCTTGTATTGTATGCATGGGTAGGCCTGCTCAACATAATAGATACTACTAATATACCATTAGATTAAAACTAATGATAAAGTACCGAGAAAGGAATAGTGATCCGGAATTTTCCTTTATTAAAGGAAGCTCTTCCAGCACTCTATTTTATTTCCTTCCAACTTTTCACCTAACATATGAAGAAGTCGAACCAGAAAGGCTTGGTTTTAATGGGGTGGCTTCAATCCTTCCTCTACCCATTCAAGAAGTTCTGGGGTCGCCTTAGCTCCACTCGCACAAGACGTACAATATATCATCTCTCACTCTCCATCTTCTCTAAAATCCTTTGCATCGCTATGTTATATTTTTTGCCGCCATTGATTATGACCAACATTTTTGGAAATTCTTCTTCTCATTTACAGTAGCCATTCTAAAACTTTATTTGCACTGATTATCATCATCATTTCTTTCCCCTTCTCCTCCTAGCAAATGCTGATGAAGTAATTATTATGTTCTCTTTGGTCTAATTAATTTCTGTATGAACTGGATCTGTGCTTCGTTCGTTTATGCGAATTAGCTTGTCAATGCACCGCTTTTCGTGCGTTACTTATCTTCATCTGTTTCAGGCATGAGTTAACGTTAATCTATATGTTTTCTCTCTCGTCTTTTTCAGGTAGCAGAGGAATATATGTCTTATACGAAGATGTGAAATCATGTTCATGCGAAGATGTGCACGCTCTGTGGTCCATATTGGTTGATTCAGATAGTAATTTTGCCCTGTAAAACTGAGAATGCTTTTCTTTTCTGCCTCAAATAAGGTGGTTTTTTTTTTATAAAGAAATATGTAGTACTTATGTTGATATATATATATATATATATATATGTAAATATAATTATATACCACTGATCACTAGCTCCTTATAGGGATGTGCCCTTTACGTACAAAGTTTTATGCAGACTTCGAAAGTCTACTTTGCATATTAGTTGATTGATATAGAAGCCACTTATGTCTTATGATGGTTTTTACGGTCACGTAAATTTTCTCAATTTCTTTCTGGATCAGGCATATCTGCGTACCAATAAGCGGTGAGCGCTAGAACATTACACAGCAGTTTCTTGTGGTGTGGTTGCTAAAAATAAAAGTTTAAACTCATAGTCAGTTTCACTCCATCCATATCAAGTCCTGGCTCCCCATCTACATCTAGTTGATTATATTTTTCGTTAAAAAGGTTTACGATAAGGATGACATAGCTTTAACTTGGATCACTTGGCAAATTTCGGATAGGAAAAGAGACAAAGAATCTATTTGGTTAGCGTAATTCTCATGAAAAGAAAAATATTCAACTTGTATGAAAAACACAATTTTCAACTACCTTTTTTATCTCATATACATTATATCATAAAAAGTACTACAGTGTTATGTCAAAGACAAAAAAAAAGCCCCCCGTGGTATAGCCATCCTACAAAAAAGTCCCTTGTAATTTCAAATCATACGTGTCGGTATCTCATGGTTTGAAGTAATTTGAAACATTGACAAAAATTATTAAAACAAACAGTTTTGAGTGAAAATGACAGAAATACCCTAATAATATAAGCAAAAAATAACCTAAAACAAACGGTTTTTGATTCATCAGTTTCATTCGCTAATAATATAAGCAAAAATCTTCGGTTTTTTGGAGCGAAATTGAAGAAGAGTCATGGTAGTTTTATTAAGGTTTGAGGGGCAAAGCAGGTATTTCAGGTCAAATTTGTCTTAAAAAACTATTTTTCCGAAGAACCACGCGCAGTTGCAGCGCGTTTGATCCAAACGCATTAAATTTAAAGATTTTTGTTAATTTTTCACTTTTCTTTAAATCATGAGATACCAATGTGTATGATTTGAGATTACAGGAGGTTTTTTTGTAGAATAGTTATATCACAAGGGGTTTTTTGTTTTTGCCCATTAAAAAAAGCCCATCATCTGAGATTAAAATCGCAAGACCAAAAGAAAAGTTAACCAAGCCGTATTTAAAACCAAGAAAGGTGGGCCAAGATATAACTCTTGGACTTTTGTCCGATAACAAAGTTTGTATGTCTGGCCCATGATACGTCCATTGGGCAACAATCTAAAAACTTGTAAACCCTACTTCTAGCACTTTTCTCTGCAAACTTCAAACTGAGAGAGAAGAAAGAGCAACCTCGGCGAGAGCAGCAGAATCGGCAGGTGAGGGGCGTTGCGGCGGCCGACGGCATCGAAGGAGACAATTGTATCGACCTTCTCTCCAAACAACTCCTCATGATCTGCCTTTTGCTTTCTTTGAGCTATTAACTAACTTTTTCAGTGGTGGGTGGATGATTATTTTACACAGAAAATGGCGGACAAGGCGGTGACTATTCGAACCAGGAAGTTTATGACTAATCGGCTTCTCTCCAGGAAGCAATTCGTGAGTCTTTCAATTGTTATTTTGACTTTCAAATCTTTTCCTTTTTCACCAAAAAAAAAGAAGGGAAATAAGGTATTTTTACTCATTTCTATTGTGCTTGTTCCCTTTGGTGGTGCAGGTGATCGATGTTCTGCATCCAGGGCGACCTAATGTTTCCAAGGTTGAAACTCCTTTCACACTTAATATATTGTATTAACTTATAGAATAGTTAATTCTTTGAAGTGTTAGCTAGTTTGTTGTCAGCTCATATTTATTTTTGTGCACACACACACAATGGATGGGTTAGATGGGCATTTCGTTGAGTTCCGATTTGCTTTCTTCACTGCATAGATATCTTGTGAATTGGAAAAATTCATCGGATAGTATTGTTGTTGGGATTTGGAAATAAGAGGTTTTGTTTTCTCTGGTATATTACTTTACTACTGCAATTTACTAAATTTACTATGGTGACGTGCCTTGAGG